GACAAAGTCCAATTTTTCTCTCCACTGTCTCCTTGGATTGAAGCTTCTCCATGTCTCGTAATCCTCAGTATCTTCTACAACTTAAATCCAAGCAAAAAAATTCATCGTCTGCCCAAAGTTTCTCAACATCCTCTGCAGCATTTCCTTGGAAAAGCTGTGACTAGAGCAATTCCTCATTAGGCCTTTTGTTTCTGTTAGTTAAATAATTTCTTCTTCCAGTTTGTGCAATACACCTACCTCGCAGCAGTTAAAGATGGCTTTAACTACAAACTGCTCCACTCACTTTCACCCAAGAATTTAACATAGTATTTAATAAGTTCATTTATAGTATATAAAAAGAAATTCAAGTATTTTAGCCATAAGCTAAAGCCAAAACAAAATATAAGGACCACTTCAGGCAAATTAATTACCTGATTCAAACCAACTCTAGCTCACTGAAATAGATGGCCTATAAATGTTCGTGTAATTCTATGGAAGTTAATTTTACTTGTATTATAGCACACTTGAAAGTAATAAAAGCAAGTAAGCTTTTATTCTTAGAAAAACACGTTTTGGGTCTTGTACAGCACAGCAAGAGTTAGCCTTCCTAAAACACAAGCATCATTAATGTATTTATTCATTCAGATCAACATATCACAACTGAAAGAATTGGCATTTCTTGTCAGCAGTAGCACTGCAGAGACACCCTGCCCCTCGCACAGCACTACCCACACACGGCTACCCCAGGCACTTGTTGTGTCCTCCCTGGGCACTCAAAGACCTCAGTTAGTACTGAGGGCTAATAAACGCTGACTTGTTTGGTACTGGATGCACTGACTTGCATAAGCTGCCAACGTCGTTACTTTTTCTAGCATCTGATCCAAAGATAGAGTAAGAGAAAGCCTAAGTAACTGCATGATTCAAGGCCAGCAAAAACTAATTCTCAGAGGGAAAGGGGCCTATTTCTACAGTTTCATCAAGCCTCACTTTGGAACATCTATGGAGTGTTTCAACAGTACTTCAAATTAGGTTTATGAAGGCATTATTCATTGAGGATGACGTACACAGCCTATGAGATTAGAAAGTATAAATGGACAGCCACTGAGAGCTCCTATGGAATGAACAGCTGCAATCACCCATAAAAAAAGAAGGAAAAGATTAGCCAAAGAGGCAGCTCGTTAACGGCACATACATACATACATATATATATGTCATTAGCTGCTTATAAGCAAAAAAAAGCTTTGGTGATATATAGTCACAAGCTAATCATGCTTAGGTTAAATGATGCACCATTTCATCAAGTGTTTTAATTTTAGGAAACAAAATTGAGAGAAGAGCCAGTTTGGCATGGCAGGGCCCTGGTGATACACAAGTAACTGGAAAATCCAGACTCTGAAATAAACTCCGGATTGGGTCTGCACATCATGCTTGGGGCACAATGCCTCACCATGCCTATGATGCATGCAGTGTCAGAGAAGGCAGAACAAATGGTATCATCCTGCAAAACCCCTGCTGGCGTGTTCTCAAACAGCATCGCCATCAGTTTCAGCTGACTACAGTACCTTATAGTGCCAGAAATAAGATGAGATGAAACTAATCGTACTGTGTTTTCAATCAACTTCCTGCTGGTCGCCACCATTTCAAGAATGGAATTCATTTCTTTTATGTCCATTAGCATATTCCCTTCTTTCCTGGTTCGAAGGCACGAAGCGCGATGGTCTGGCATCATCTGGACCATAAGAAAACCAAGCAGCATTCACTATGGTACAATCTGAATCCCAGCAGCGTTGCCCTCTGACTTGCTCCTTCACAATGTGCACTTCTGCCAGCCAAGGAGTATTTCAGCTCTCAAGTCTCATCCACACATGTAACAGTGTAATAGCAAAAGCCCCAGCCCTTTGATGAGCTATACGCAAGTGAAACCTTTGTGGAGCCCTTCAGAAGCCGATGGGGAACTGCCAACATGAAGTTCATTAAAGGATTATGCCTCATCTCTAATAAGCAAAGTGGCTTAACTGGAATATATATATATATAGTAGTATTTTCATGTATTTATTAACACAGAGCTGAAGATTTTATATATGTCAGAAAAGGCTGGTTTCTGAAATCCACTCATCTAAGAAAAAAATGTTACATGGTCTGTTAATCAGAAAAAGAAGATTTTTTCCAGATCATAAGAATGAGAAGCTAAGCACAGCATAAACCCTAAATGAAGTAATCTAAAATAACATCTTGCACACTGCACCCTTTCCAACCTTTATACACAAAAACTATTCCAATAAAAAGTGAAACAGTTGCAACTAACTGAAGTTTAAGATATAAAAATAGAAAGAGCAGGGGGTAAAATATTTCCAAACAGCAAGCTGTGTGAATTTTTCATAAATAAATCAATACAGATGAGGCTTGCCCAATTGAGGCTATCTGTGCGAGATGATTTTGTAAAAACATAAAGATGATCTCCGTGTTCCATCTGAACCTCACTGGAGCAAAAATGACAGACTGGACATACTAAAGAGAAGGGGAAGTCTGCAGAAGATTTAAGGATGGCTTCTGTGATCTTCCACAAAAGGTAAGAAAACGTTAGTTGTTGACCTTAAGCAGATGTTTCAGAAGTTCTGAGCAGGCTCACTCAAGTCCCTTCTTTCAGTTGTTCATTTTTCAGTCTCTTAGATCTTGAAACATCAAGAGTTTAGTAGTTTTCCAGTCACCAGAGATTCCTGCAACCTACAGGATCTGAATTTCTAATGTAAAACTCAGCATTTTAAAAGAACCCCTCCAACTTTAATGCGATAGTATGTACAGTCCTCTCACTAACCCTTCACATACCACTGCAAGACCAATGTGTACTTCAGGAGCTACTTTATGACTATGCATCGATAGGCAAAGTTCAGCCCACAGATCCACAGCTTACTTCAATGGTTTTCTTAATGCTTTTCTCAATATTTTCCTTAGTGCTGTTTGTGGATTACTGCAGAAAAGTATTCACCTCACCATAAATGGTATTGCTAGCAGTAAATAAAATTCAAGCCAAAATAAAACAAACAAAACCACCAGCACCAAGCCCCAACGCTATCTTTTACACTCAGCCACAAGATGTAACATCTAGACCCCACGGTCTGATCTGCTGGCAATGAACTCTTCTGCAGCCTGCATGGTGCAGGAGCACTCAAGAGTGGGCATCCGAAGATTCTCCATCACTGGACTGATGCAGACCAGGAAACAAAGCAAAGCTATCCCTCTACATGCCTTTCTTTAGAAAATTTACTGAAATTATTTCATCAAGTTGCAAGTTTTAGAACTTTTCATAGGATTAAATGCTATAATCCTGCAGCGAAAGGCAAGCATGGCCCTGTTATTCCATGTGTCAAATCGACATACAGGTCACCGAGAAGACTCCATCCTCTTTAAGACACGTTGCTGGCACGACCCTAACTGACACCGAGAGCAGCAGAACTCCAGCTTCAGAGGCATACACCTCCTTATCCCAGCATGACTTACTTTCTTCAGAATGCTGGCATAAAACTGTGACACCATGAGTACTCCTGCCAGTGCAACGCTGCTACAAGGGCATGTCCATGCAGATTTACCAGCAGATCTTTTCAAGCACTGCCAAGGCCCAGGTGAATAGGGAGAAGACATCACTTAAGTTTCTTCAAGACAGAGAAGCACAACAAGCCATCAGACTGGAAGCTGATGGTGCAATTTATTCATTTTTTGCAGTGAAAATATAGATGTAAAGCTTGCCAAAGAGTATTGAAAGGCACCTGGTAGAAAGGGAGCAACAAATAGCATTTTGGTAATTGTTTGTTCAAGGGAAATGTAGGCTTTAAGAAAAGAGTAATGGCTTTAAAGGGCAATGGGTTTTCTTGAGGGCCTCCTGTCACCATTAACCAGATCCTCAAACACGACGCACCAGATTTTTGTCTTGTTATCACAACCCTCTGAACTAGCCCCAAAGTTCAGCCCAGAGGAAAAGTTCACTTTCAACTTTCAGTGACTCTCCCTTCACGCCAAGATCAGGTTACAGGAGGCGGGTGGTGCGCTGCCTTAGAGACAGCAGCGACTTGCTCCCCACCACGCTGCAGAAAGCAAGCATCAGCTCCAAACATGGGAGCCTAAGAAAACAGGAATTAACAAAAACAATTTACTGCATATTTGTAACATGCCTTGCATAATCACTCCCGGCAGGGCCACGGCGTACGTTGCGCTCCACGTTTTTGGCCATAACTCGCGAAAATGGATTTCACATGAAATCCTGCCACTCCGGTGGGCGCACCCCAGGTACAGCGACACCGCTAAATCGCCCTCATCGCACCTCCTTCCCCCCAGCACCTTACATTGCACGCCACAAATCCCAGGAAGGCACAACCAGGGGCAAGCCCAAAGCTCAGGTGAGCCCCCAGAAGCCTGCGCAGTCCTGTGGGTTTTGAGCATTTCGTCAGCGGGAGCATTAGGGACTAATAGGGGATATATATATGGGTATATGTATGTGTGTTAGGGGCGGTTTGTGATGGCGTGTGCCTGGCAGCACACCACCTGCCACGCTACCCCTGATATTAACTATAAATGACCGGCGATGGGAGCACGCCCAGCACCCTAGGGTGGGTAAGGGGTGAGCGAGGGCCTGGCTTTGTATTTCCACCCCACTTTGGGCTCTGTGGCAGCGGCCCTACCTCTCCCTTCCTGGCAGGAGGCCGGCCAGCAGCCAGGCAGGCCGTGGGGCTGCCGAGGGGCCGGGACCACCATTTCACACGGCGTTTTCCCCTTGCCCTGAGGGGAGCAGTGCGACCTGCCCCCCCAAACCTCCCCTACACCCCCCCTACACCCGCCGGCTCCCTGTGGGGCTGGGCAGGGGGACCCAGAGGGACCCAGAGGGACCCGGGGGGGGCTCACAGCCGGGCCTGCCCCCACCTGAGGGCCCCAACCAGCCCCAACCCGGCCCCAACCCCACACTGAGGGGGCCACAACGCCCCCCCCCCCCCCACCGCCGCCCCTCCCGGCCCCGCGGGGCCCCGGCTTACCCCCAGAAGCCGCAGGGGCAGCGCGGCGGCAGGCTGGGCGCCTTGCTGCGCTCGCTGCCGGCGTCTCCCATGACGGGGCCGGGGCCGAGGCCGAGGCCGGGGCCGGGGCGGCGGCGGGCGGGCGGTGGGGGGGGGAGGAGGAGGAGGAAGAGGAGGAGGGGGGGGGGCGGCGGGGCTGGGAGCCGGGATTCCAGGCCGGTCAGCTGGAGCCGGGCGCCACCACCGGGGAGGCGGCGGAGGGGTGTCCTCCCGGGGGGGGCCGGCCGCGCCCTAGCGGCAAGGCCCGCGGTGCCGCCCGCCCGCTGTGACGTCCCCCCCCCCGGCGCCGCGGAGAGGTGCGCCCGTCCGCGCCGCTCGGCCCCTGACTCAACAATGCGCCCCCCTCCCCGCCCCTCCCCTCTCCGCAGGCACGGGCACGGGTCCGGCCCCGGCACCTCGCCTCCCCCCCGGCCTGAGCGCGATGGTTGCGCCCGGCCGCCGGATCAGCTGGGAGCGGCCCGTACCAATGCGGTGCCCCGGGGGGAGACGGCGTTGAAAGGGAGTGGGGATGAGGGGAAAAGCGAGCTGAGGAAACACCCGAACACTCTAGCAGGGAACGGGTATCTCTATAAAGAGGCCGTGAGGGGCTGCCCGCGCTCTCAGGGCCGGCTGGCTCCTCTACCCCGCGGCCACCTCCACCCACACGTTACGCCATGGTGGTACAGCCGGCGAACGCCGGGGGAGGGAGGGAGGGAAGGAGGGGGGCCGGCCGTGGCGGCGCATGCGCAGTAGCCCCGCGACGCGGAAGCGGGCCGGTGGCCCAGCGGGGCCAGGTGGGGCCGCGCCGCTGTCAGCACGCAGCGCCTCGGCTGCTGCCCGCCCCTCTGCGGGCAAATAATAATTACAGCAAATAATAAACGGCCCCGTTCCTAAAGCACGCTGCTGTCCTGTGTTCTGTGCGCGGCTGAGCTGAGGGCTGGCCTCAGCGGTGGGAATGGGGGCAGTGCTGGCCCCGGGTTGGGGGGGGAATGGCCGGGGTGAAGGCGGCCTCAGCGGCAGCCGTACAGTGCCTTGGGTGCCCCTGTGAGGGGGAAATAACACCGGCCCCCTGCCAGAAATGGCTCTTTTGACCTCTTTGTGGAAAAAATGGCGTGTGGTGATTCTGCAGGTGGAACTGTAACACATTCCTGAGGTGGTGTTATCTTAGGGTTCGACTTTGAACCTAAACCCAAGGGTGTTGAACATCAAAAGTAATAAACGTTGTTAACAAACCCTGGAGTGTGTAGGTCTTGGTGAACAGCTAATTAATTCTGTCCAAACCCTTTCGGCTTAAATACTGACCATCTTTAAGAATTTTGTATCAAATTAATTCATAGCAGAGGGAGAAAACTCGTTACGGAATGCACAGAGACAAGCCTAAAACTTCTTTATGTGTTGAAATTTAATTAAACTAATGTAAACAGGCTGCTTCTGAAGAGAGGTTTGTGACAGAGCTCGCAATCAGCAGTTGGTTTATCCAACAGCCATCGAGGCTCAGGCTGACCGACTGACTCCCTGTTGGTGAACCAGCCGGGCTGCAGCTCAGCCAGGCCTTGCTCGTCCTCGGCAGAAACTTTGAAGGCAAAAACATCACGGAGTGTAAGATCGAAGTGGTACGGTGGAGAGTTTTCATTGACGGATTAACTGGTGCCAGCTCTCTGGAAGTAGTCTGTGGCTGCGTAGCGAGCGCCCTGTGCGCCGGGGTGTGAGAGCTTCCTCTTGCACAGCTCTTGGAGGAGCCTCGCTGCTGAGGCAGCACTGCGAGTGCACTGGCAGAAGTGAGTACTTGAACAAAATAGTCCCGGCTTCATTAACTCAGCCCTTTAAACCTGTAAGTCAACTGAATATTAAAATTGTGCCTTATGTGCTGGCTACCTATAGTGCTACCGGAGGCTGTAAACTCCCCTCGGTTAAGCAGTACATTCTGTCTTTTTTTAAAGATGATTTGATAGCTAGTTCATGCGTCCTGATTTGCAATTAAAATGGAATCAGCTTTCAGTCATTACAAATGTCTTGGAGAAGCATTCTCTGTGGTCATCTTGCTCAGTATGCTTGTGTCATTCCAAATAAACTTGATTTTGTAAAGTTATGTTGAGTTTAATGTCCAAGTTCTGGTTTGGGAAGCAATTCAGATTTTTAAAAATCCTATAGTGGTTTGGTAATTCATTCCAAGTTAAACACAAGAAAAGCATGAGTTCAGACATAATGGGATTACAAGAAGTATCTGTATATTTAACATGATGACAATGAGGACACCTCAACAACAATTTAGCTCTGCCCAACACTGATGCCCTATGGAGGAATAATCTGAAGGGGAAAAAATCGTTAGGATTCTAGTATTCTTCAACACTCTGGGACAGAACAGAGAGAGCATGTGTGCTTGGTGCTGTAATGTCTTATGTCTAAAACAATATTTTGGATTTTTTTAAAGAATAACTTCTGCCACACTGTTTTTCAGTAATCATGGTATTTCCTATTTTATTTAAGTAGCAGAAGGTATAAATTACTGATGTATCATTCAGAATTGCTTCTGGAAAAAATATTACTTTAATCTGAACTTGCTTCTCTAAACCTTTAAATGTTTTGGTTTGTGTCATATTTCTTCTAGTCTTATCAGTCCATTTGCAAGCACCAGAAAGTGTTTCTGTAGTGCAACATTGCAGCAAGGGAAAGTCCTGGTGTGCGATGCTTCTTTGGAAGCTGGCTGGGAGAAAACCGGTTCAGCTGATCTAAAATTAATACAGTCATGAACAGGGCATCACAACCTCCATACAGTGTGTGAGCCATTCTTCCAATACATCTATTGAGCCAGGCCTCTGGCTCCCTGAGGAGCTTCATTACTGACATTTTCTTTATTATTATTTTTTATATCCATAGAGTCCAAGCACTGGATGCTTTCTGAACTAATGTACAAGCATGTGCAAACAAATGGATAAGCAGCACCTAGGAAGCTTATGCAAGGCATTAGTTGGATAGGGGTGGGGACATTCATACTCAGGAAGTCATCATATGGTCCAGTTATAAGGAGGCATGTTTCAACCTTGATGAGGAAATATGTATTTAGTTGGGGAAAAAAACCAACTATTTAGTAGTAGGAAAGTAACTTGAAAAGTGGTTATGTCAGAAGAGCAGTGAGCAACGATTTAACTCTACGCCAACAGAAACAGCTAATGTAATTTTAGTTCTGCTTATCCAAATGCATGAAATGGATGGGGAAGGTAGCAATGCTTAATGAGACTGTAACCACCCCTGTAGCTTTTCTCTGGGCATCTTATTGCAGAAAAATCACAGAATGCAGAGAAGAGTGACCAAAATACATGTAGTTTGCAGACAATGCAATGCTTAAAAAATGTAATGTTTACTGTTTGCCCAGGGAATGATTACGTTTGGAAAGAGGTCATAGCCGTTTACTCATATTTAAAATAACAAACATGGAAGGTATTTACCAGCAGGACACACAGAGTTTAGTAAAAGACATAAAATATATGTTTCCAAGGGAAGAAATACTTAGGTCAAATAAGGAAAATGTTCTCACAGTGAAGTCTGATTTTTTACCTCTTGCTGAGGTGCTTCGGGCTCATTCTCAGTGGGGCCACAATGCAGGATTAGATGAGGTAACAGACTTCTCAGGATCGGGAAGCAGAACGCTACCGGATTTAGAAGCAACAATTAAGTATCGTTGTTTCTCAAGTGTTCCCTTTCTTCATATATACTAGAAAGAGTTGTACCTGTGTACAGTCAGAACGTTTTGGGATGTTTATTTTGGTATAAACATGATTGTCCGATTGAGATACATGTGCACAACCGTGAAGTAGAGCAGGTGGAGAATGTCACAAGTATTGTACATCTTCCTTCTCATCTTGAGATCTAAATTACCATAAAATGATAAAAGTGACTCATGTGGTGCCAATCTGTTAGAGAGACTCTTGAGCTGATTGAAATAATCACCACTTTTTATTCCTCTCCAGTAGGCTGATATGCTTCGTAGCAAAATCTTTTCTTTCGGAAGATCATTCTTGTTAAACCCTCTACTGAGGTTGAAAAGTAAAATGAGCATGTGGAAAAGAGCGATGGAGACAACATGTCTGAGCCATAGTCATATCTAGCTCTAAAGGTGAACAATTACAATGATTCGCAGGAGCCCAGGGGCATAGGCTATCGCCCATGAAGAAATTAACCTGCAGCAAGTCAGCATCACAGATGAGGCCCTGCAAAAGGCGAATGAACCCTGCCTGAGACTGGCACACATCCTTTTGGCTGAATCAGGACCAGGGCTGTCAGCCTTTCAAATGCCTGCTTTGCAATGCTTAGCTCATCTCATTTTCTACATTAGAAAAACATGTCTTGGTTCTTTGTATGCAGCTGGCATAGCAGGGTGTGATCCAGCTGAATGCCTCAAGATTTGCTTATTCGTTTAGTCTGAGTTAGGTGTCAGTGCAAGCAATCTGAAGACAGAAATGCCCGCACCTTAGCCTCTGGCTTGGGCCTCAATGAATCTGACTCCAGGCTTCTTTGCTACTCAGAGGAGGCCTCCAGATTAAAGAAGGCAAGCTGAGTTCATCTTGGCTCTCAACATTGGTTGTGTTGACGAAGCAAAAGAAATAGAATCATCTGTGAATTATCAACTTATGAGTCATGTAGATTAGGAGGTTTTCATAGCTATGTCTTTTTTAAAACATAAAACATAAGTTTGAGCGCTAAAGGAAAGGTTTAAATTGTCACTGCACAGAATTTGGAGTCAGAAGCTTTGACATTTTTTCCATGTTGTTTTAAATCTCTGTTGTTTTAAATCTCTCAGTTTTGCTTTCTGAATGGAAATGCTTATACATCTCATCAACAGTCTGGAAGCAGAATCTTTATTGGGTGGCATTTTTAGAAATGAGAATTTGTTGTTATTATTGCTCTAACTAAAAGAGTGACATTTCTTTGCAATTAATGGCTGGACGGAGAATCCAAGGTGAAAGCAATAACTCTTAACACAGCCAGATGTAATTTGCAAGGATATGACTAACCCAGAGGCAATTATTATTAAAATACTTTTATTTATTTCACACATGTATTACTTCCTCTTCCTGCCCTTTATGTAATCCAGGACACTTTGAGAAAAGCACAAATGCAAAAAATAAATAAAATACATATATATATATATATATATATGTATATGTATTATGTATATTATGTATATATATACATATATATGTATATGTATATATAGAATACACATATATATAGTGTAATTAAACAAAACATTCTAGGCTAATCTAAAAAATGACAAATCAAATATTAAAACAACAACAGCAAAACTTTTGTCATGATTTAATGAAAGGTGAGGGGATAATAGTGACCCCACACAGATGTGACAGTGACTAAGAAAGAAATCATTCACAGAAAAATAAACCTGCAGATGT